CGAGGAGAGTCAACTCCCCATCGTAGAGCACGATGACTGTTCCGCCCAAATCAAGTCCGTTCATTTTGACTGAATCAACGTTGACACGGCGATCGCGGTTTAATGGCTTGAGCTCTCGAAGGTATTGAATTTCGCGCACATTCAATGTTGAACCAGCACTGTCTAAACGACCTCTAGGAAGAAGTCCACGGTTGACAAACGCAACGGTCGGTAAGGGTTCTGGGAAGAGTAGAGGAAGCAGTAGATGAAACAATGTCTGAGTCGGTGGCTTTGACCAGAAGAAAGGTTCAAACGAGCCTCTACGTCGAGGCTCAGCAGCCAGAGAAAGGGACATAAACTGTTCAATTCTAGAAGCAGTATAGTTAGAATATATTGTAATGGTATTAAAGACCAAATAGCGTACCGAGTAAACCGAGCGGCCACAGTAAGAGCCGCAGTTCGGCCTTGAGAGAATGACTCCCAATGTGATGCAAGTGCTAATACATCTTCAGGTTCCACAGCATTCACTTTAGCAGCATTCTCGGAGCACAAAGAAAACTCTGTTCTCAATCCGTCGAAGAGCTCTCTAGCTACTATCAGAGGAGCAACATCCCACTCGTTTCCATTCTTTGAAGCTTCAAGGGACTGTTGAATTTGAGAGATGCGTTCACTAGCCCAAGGAACGGCTTTGACTCCTTCTACTCCAATGGCAACACCGTTCTCCTGAGGGTAAACCCACGATTGAACGATTCTCAACGCTTCGGGTTCCACTCGTTTCCATACTTTGTCCAATCGAGCGACCGGATGAGAAGTTATTGCGGCAGCGATAGCTTTCCATGAGCATTCATCTCCAGTACGACGACACAGTTCCCCAATGTTAGCCCAAGCAGAGATAACTTCTGAGCGAGAATGAACACGCCCAGATCTATCGTCTGAGTTGGGTCCTGAAGAATTCTGACGAGAGCTGTTGTCAGAAATCAAGACTTGAAGTAGGATTGCCTTGGTCAACCAGTGAGGACGATCATCAGTACCAATGAATGGCTGAAGGGGGTTTGATGAGGGTTGACTGGGTGCAGGAGGAGGGCCATCAGCAGGAGTGACAGCTACGCTTGGGAGTTCCCCACTCTTGTTATCTTGGTCTACCGATTTGAAACAACAATCCGCAGTAAGATGTTCAGACATTTGTTGTAAAACGCATTGTTGGTACACTAGTAAACTTTTTGCAGCCAGCTGAGGGTCTAAGTTCAACAACACTTCTCTCGTCAAACCACCCCGATCCAACACAGACCGCAAGGATGGCCTAGTAGTTCGCGATGGAGAAGTGTGTATACTTGGTCGAGAGTCACCGAGCGCATCAATGAGAGACAGCATACGTTCATCATGACCAGGTCGAGGAGATAAAGTGCCCATGGTGGGAGAAAACTCAGTGGGTCCTTTCCTGGGAGAAAGAAGTTTAGGAGAAAGAGGATAAAGACCTTGGACGGAAGTGGAAGATGGTAGACCCCCTGCCATACTTTCTTGAGCAGCAACAGAGGGGTAGTTTGGAATAGTTTCACTACGCCAATCCTCCCAGCTTGAAGGTTCGACAGGATGACCATGGTAGCTGAGATACTGATTCGCAAGCCATTGGATTCTGCATCGCTCTTCATCCTTGACATCATCTTCTGCACCATCAACTAGGAGAGTACAACAACGGAAGAATTCCGTTTCGAACCGCGACCTGGCGACAAGGGTGGGCAAGCAGAGCAAGATTGTTGAGGCAAAATCTTGCCATTCAGGAGCGTAATGTGACGGTGGAAGATCTGATGCTGGGTCTTCTTCGGATCCGCGATGGAAGGTAGTAGCGAAGACAGCTTCGTGAACCAGGGCTTCGAAAGTCCCTCTCTCAATGTTTTCGTTATGGATCAAAGAAGGATGGGTGGCTCTTCCCCAATATGCGCGTCTTCTTCTTCCCTCGTCCTTATCCTTTCCTTTCCCTCGACGGACAGTGTCGTCAGCATCACCAGTTTCAACATCTCCTTCAACGACACCTTCATCTTCCAATACGACTACAAGTTCGGTCGGGAATAGGTCCTTGATACCATTACTTCGGTCACTGGGAGGCTTGTAGAAATACAATTTCGACCCTTTCAATACAAGCTTAAATGGTTTCCAGCCTTTGGACATTGTTCCGGCACCCATGCCGTTCATGTAAGCCTGGGTGGCTCGAGCAGTGAAGGCTGTTGGCGAGAAATCTGTCATACGATTGATAAAGCCGGAATGATAGACAACCTGGGAAGTCCGTTTGTCTGCACGACTGTCGTTGTCTCCCTTTGGTTCAATGATGGTGGGAGGCGCTAAGAGGGGTGAAGCAGGGGGCGACTTTCCAGTGACAGTGGATTCAGCGGTCAATGATGTTTTGCTGTTCGAACCATTGGAAAAACCAAAAGGAAAAGCGGATCGTGGCGAATGACCGGTTCCAATACTACCATGATCAGTATCTCGTTCATTCTCTTTGTTGATCTTGTCTCTTGGGATTTCATAGTCAGAAGAACCTGAGCCCTTACGACTAGGACTGGAAGGAGGCACAAGACTGATTTTCGGAGCAGATAATTTAGAAGGTAATCGAGGAGTGAAGGAATGTGAACGAGCATGGACGTGGGCGGAGGAAGGAGTGAGTGGAGGTGTGCCTGCACTGGAAGGAGACGAGTTCGCCGTCAAGACTCCTAGTCTGTTGGGCGGAGAGGACGAGGGACTTTCTGTGGCAGAAATTGTGGGGAATGGGTAGTTCTTGTGGGCGCTACCAGAGGGAGAAGTTGACGGTGATGCATTGACACTGCTGACGCTGTCCGCACGATTATTTCGATTTCGATATTGCTCAATCTTCCCTTGAAATGTCGTATCTATTGGCGTTAATGTGGGACTGTGCAACGACGTCATCTTCCCAAGATCGTCTGCAGACTTGGACCAGGGTTTTCGGGATATGTTTCGCAAGTCGCCTAGGCCTCTTGAGAAGACGGGATTCGAAGGGGACGATGGAGTACGAGAGGCACCATGTCGTATATGATCAGTGTTTGTTGGCGTACGTGCAAGTGACAAGTCAAGAACAGATCTACGAACAAATCGAGCATCAGCATGAAAGCAGCTTTATTGAGGAGGATGTATGTTGTGTGAAACTGATATTGTTCACGCCCGAATTTCTTTGGCGTTGAAACAGAGAACATATCTGACAACTTGCTACGCGCACAACGCGTTCTGTGGTGAACGCTTTCCGTGCAAAGCTCGTGTCCCCCAGTAAATGCAGTGCTCGTACTTCAATATAGTGTGGTAAGCGAGAGTATGAATGCACAACTCGCGGGTTCTTCCCGGAAGGGAAGGTCGACAAGAAGCTCGCTTGTCTTCAAAGAATAAATCTTCTGAAACGTGTCCCCCGCGCGAAGATGTAAACAAAAGCAGCTTCGATATAGAACACGTACCTGCTAGCACCGGTTGTCCCAATATCAGGGCGCAGCTGGTCCAATATGGGTCTAGGATCGGTAGGATGAGATATCTTGGGCTTCCTGGAACTTGTACTTGGTCGGGGCTCTATAGAACTGATGGAAGATCTCCCGCTGATGCTTCCACCCGAGTTGGAGCGAGTAAACCACTTTGAAGGTTTGGAGAATAGTTGAGATAGCCCCGAGGGGGATACTGAACGGGACTGATTTTGTATGCCGGGAGACTGTGGGGCGGAAGACACACCACTGGGTTCCGGAGGACTCAATGTGTTGGAAGACGGAGCCCCACGTCGGGGTGCCATTGAGATAGGTCAGAGCGGTGGGATTTTGAGAAAAAAAGAGTGTTTCTGGCTGTTGTAAGGGGATGTAAAATCCAGTTCTGTCAGGATATCGTTTGGTGAAAACTTGTTTGACGGGTATGGATGATTTGACAGTGTAAGAGGAGGATCCGTGGGAGGGTATCGGCGTAAAGCTTGAGGGCCAGCCAGAGCAGAATGCCCGCACAGCTTTGCTCGATGCTGGCAAGGATATCCTGGGTATGTTCGTCGACGGTCGTGACAGCTAAATGCAACAAACCCAGAGGGAGATGCTTGACTGCTTTATGGGCGCCAACAACACGTGCTACGAAACATCAGGCGCCCAGGTCTCATTTACCCTATCAGAGCCTGTTGCTAGGCAATTTGCAAACCCCCGCATTACACTATCTCAGTTCACTCAAAATTCCATTCTTGCTCGTCTCCATAAAATGCAGTATCGAAAAACACCGCATCATCAAACCCTTGTTTTCGTCTGTCATTCGACCTGATTGTATGAATCAAAAGAGCTGATAGATATTAGTATCCTAAACCACTAGTACCCCTTCCAACACCGAACTGCAAGTGCAACTCATTTCTCTGAAGGTTCTTCTTATGATGGGACGTGATCCTTCGTATCGGACTGACCTTACTTGTGATCTAACAGCGTTTACAGCATCATTCCTCGGTCCATCAAGTCAGGCGGTGTTACAGTATGTATTTCAATCATGTTTTACTACTATCTCGACGCCCAGCTGGAAAATCCTTCAATTACTGCATGGGGTCAGTCAATTCTATCATTGGACGTTTCTCGAGGTATTGACTGGTATTGATTGCTCTCTCATTGCCTGTCGTTGCGCACAATCATCCCCGGCCATGTGAAAGTGCGAACATGAGGCTCAGGAATTGAGTCTAGTGTCTCGTTTCACAATCCTTCTCGAGCGAAATGGTCCAGGTATTCCCAGCAATCATCCTAGCCGATCACCATGAGTATAATGCTTCTAGACAAGCCCTGATAGGACACAGCAAGAAGCGTCAGAAATTGGCCAGTTGCTAACGTTATAATGTGATAAGCATTTCTAGGTCAATTCGAGATACTCGCGGTTCCGCAAAGTTCGGCAGAACTTTTCCTTTCCCTTCTTCTCGAGTTCTCGTTCTCTCGAAGGGAAGACTCATATGCGCATCAAGTTGAAGTTTCACAATATCAGAATTCATCTACGTACAGGATGATATACTACTTCGTATACCATCGTCCCTGGTAGTATATCGGCTAGTACACGCGCCTGTCATCTCTGCTGCTTACAGGTCGCTCGATCGCGCGAAAGCGGGGTTCGACTCCCCGCCAGGGAGTCAGTATGTTTTTTTGGACTGAAACAGTTATTCCTTCCTTCGCCCAATTGTCCCAGTGGCTTGGCGACCAACCAATACTTTTGTGTTTGATAATGATCCAAAAATGGAAACTTTGATGGGGCCTTTGATAAATATGTACAAACAAGATTGTCGCTGTGGCCGTTCTCATTCAATAGTCTTTGTTTTCGCCCGCTCGTTCAAATTCTGTGCAAAATATCATATATCTTATCATTGACTTGTGCTTCGTTGTCCACTCGCCAAATTCTTGAAATTATGGAGGTTACCCCCTTCAAGGTACGATACTTTCATAATTGTCGACGAGTCTACTCTCGACTCTACTGTCAACTGGAATGTTTACTAGACGTTACAATTCCATCAAATCCCGACTCTAGAAATCTCCTGGACACCAATCCACATCGTTCTATAAGGATTCATGGGAGGAGCTCACTCGGAAGACGTCAGAACAGGAGCAATCTGTCCAGAAACTCAAGCATCAAATGAACGACATGATCCCAGTCTCGCGGTTGTGTCCAGAGATCCTTTCCAACATTATGCTTCTCGTTGTCCGTGATACGCAACTGGGCTACCTGGATAAAGAGAGGTATGAAGGTGAAATTAAGGACCCCCGCTGCAATTCCTGGATTCGTATCGCACATATATGTCAATATTGGAGACAGGTCGCGCTGAAAACAGGAAGGATATGGTCACATGTTTTTCTTGTGGGTTCGGATTGTGCTAAGGAACTCATTGCTCGCTCTGGTACGGCTCCACTATATATCACACTCCTAAAGCAGCAAGCTGAAAGGACGTGGTTGAGCGAGGCTGACGGAAATACGGCTCTATTATTGTACGTATTCCCGCAGATGCATCGTGTTAGGGAACTCAACCTTGTCCTCAATCCCGGTCACTACTCATTCCTACTCTCTGGTTCTTTGGATCTGGTTGCGCCTCAATTACGCAGTATCATTTGGATCAAAAACACAACTTCCAATTACCATTACAATGACCGGGAAATGGTACTAGACAACTGTCGCAAAGTCTTTCACAAAGTGCACAGTCTACCTGTTCTCGACAATCTGAAGTTGGTCAATTTTCGCATTTCCATGTTTGTATCCTTTGCTTCTCAATCAACTCTCCGATACCTCGATATCAACACCGGGACGACAAATACACAAATACATGTCCAAACGCTATTGCAGATTCTGAAGGGTCTTCCAGAACTCAAGGTTGTTCAGCTCACTAATGTTGTTAAGCCATATTCCGCGTCAGTTTATGAACATTGGAAATCACTTCCAACGATACCTGGATTGTCAGTCGCACTCAACAAACTAGAATACCTCTTCTTCAAGTCCTCGCTCGATGTCATCTCTATGTTTCATATCCTTCATCATCTCTTGCTCCCACAGCAAACACCTGTTCATATTGCATGGTTGAAACCCATCCTTCCTATTCACCTAACATTGATACTTCCCATCATTGTGAAAAGTTGGCTATCAACATCTGTCTCTCACCCATCTCCTCCAAGATTTCTCCACATATAATAGAGAGGACTTATACAGACCCAATTCCTTTCAGTAATGAGGAGGAAAGTCTATGGGAAGGTATTGATATTCATTTCTCAAGGAAGCATGTCAATGTACCATACTGGGTTGAGGAGCTTTGGCCTGTACCTGAGATGTCCCAATATACACTACTCTGTCCAGGCACTGGAGACAATGGGGGTGTTAACCCAGAAGATGTCATCGTCGTTGCCCTCATTGCTTTCAAGGACCATCTTGCCAACACCATTACAAATCTTCTTATTGAAGGCTTTGAGCTATCATTTGATCAGTTCTATAATGCTTTCTTCAGTTTACGAGCAGTGAACAGTTTGTGTGTTGGTATCACCAGTACCTGCCTGTCACAAGTGTTGACTTATTCACTTGCCGATGAAACACCATTGGACGACGAAAAGAAAAGGAACATATTCTTTCCCGAGCTTACGGACTTGACGATCATCTCAACTTGTTTCCGAAAGGGATGTGATTATGGTTGCAGACACGCATCTTCAAAGCCGTTGATTCATGCACTGAGTTTACGGAAACGATGTGGTTTAGGACTGAAGGTTGTCAGATTTTACGAACAATGTTCAGATATTGATCCAGATATGGTTAGGGAACTCGAACGACATGTCGAGAAGGTCGAATTGGATGGATGAGTATGAGTACGTCTTACCAATGAAATATTATGTCCGCTTTGTTGTCGTAGTATGGAAAGTTATCATTAAGCTATACTCGTAAACCACATGTAAAGACAAAATGTGCATACAATGCAACAGGCTTACAGTGGGTGCATGTCACAACATAAAATGGAAAGCGCATCTAAAATGTCCAGACTCCAGTTGAAGCTCAAAAAACAATGTCTAAGGAGCGAATTCTATCAAAACGATCCATAACGGTGTCCTGAAAAAAAAAGCCAGACAACAACAAGAGCTCAAGTTAAAAACACATTCATCATTCAGAGGTACGGTAGAAGATATAAAGCCAAATGATAGAGAACGGCACAAAGTAATGCAAAACCCTTCACAAAATGCACAACAAACGAAAGCAAAGTGAAAGGAAGTGAAGAAGAATGTGCGGTATGCATACAGTTGAATAGCTTAAAAAGATAAAAGGTATATACACTGAAAAGTGGAAGGGAGTTTTGGTTGAAGAAGAGTAAAAGATAAAGGCGTTATCAGGACCTGATACCGTCGGCCAATGCAGTCCGTTAGGTTGGGTTGATGCCCGGTCGACAAGGCAATGAAGCCAATGAGGAGACGATCACCGACATCGATCAAACGATAACAATGACGAGGAGAAAGGACGATGATGAACGGGGTGAAATAAAAAAGGTGAGGTAAAAATACATTCTGAATCTTGTAAATTTGCTCGAATAAAAAAGAGGAAGCTCGTAGAATCGTCAGGTCATGAAAACAACCCTCCTTACGAGGATCATTTGAGTGAGGTCTCCAACACGACAAGGGTTGTCTGGCCAATCATCAAAAACCACCAAAGCAGCCAACGTCCGGTATCGACAGAGAATCCGACAGGAAGCTGGTCTCCGACAAAAGCTTGTATGAGGGCTCTACTGGTGAAACAGGGGATTCAATCGGACTTGAACTGGTAGTGCTTATACTTGTCCGTGATCGTCTCGATCTAGGCGATGGGGATGTTACGCGGCTGGTGGTACGCTGAGTACTCGTAGGGATACGATGACGGGTACGGGAAGACGGAGATGTTGCACGATGACTCCGAGGCGAACTGGGTCCGGGATGAGGGAGAAAAGATGTAGGCTTCGAATTCGCCGAAATGAACATCGATCCAAACTCTATCAATAGGAACAGAAGGCTCGTCAGACAGTGTTTAGAGTGTGAATGAAGAAGGAATCCTTATAGCTACCTGACAAAGATGCATCCATAGCATACGAAACCGAGGTATCAGATTCCTCTGAAGACTCAGAGGACGATACGTCTGGAATAAGTGCAGGGAGAGATCGACTGTAGAGAGTGGGAGTAGTCATCGGAGTTACATCGTTTTCTTCATCATCTTCAAGTTGATCCCGGTAAGCAGCAAACGGGGTGCTTGGGCGTTGTACTGGGGGCACTGCACGGGCGGCAGCAGCAGCTCGAGGATGCAAACATTTTCCTGCTGGTGTGGTGGGCTCAGCAGGAAAATAGGTCCTCCCTGGACAACCTCTCTCCGGAAGTTTGCAAGAATTTGGCAGAACAGTGATAGGAGAGCGGTCGTAGGTGGAAGGGGAGTAAGCAGCGAAAGTGCGTGCCATTGCCGAGTGAGGAGGAAAGTGTACGAGAGAGGAGAGGATGGAAGGGTCAATGCTCAGGAGTTGGCTGGACTCATCGCGCGGTGAGGTTGGGCCCTCGCTGAGAGCGGGATTTGGCCTCTTGAGGATCGGTCGGGGACACGGACAATAAGTCTGTGGCATTGGCATGATCGTAGAACTGCTGATTGTGTGTTCGGAGGTGGTTTGTCGGAGTGGTTGATAGAGAAATGATTGAGATTGGAGATGAGTGGACAAGATAAAACTTGTCTGGAGGAGTTGGCGAGATGGGAGAGGAGGCGAAACGACGAGACTTGTTAAAAATCTAATCTATGTTTTCTAACAGAAACCGAGTGCAAAAGGGAGATAGCTCCCTGAGAGACACGAAAGCCTTTGTTAGCAAACGAGATTCATGGTGAAAGAGAGGTGAAGAGCAGGAGGCCGGGTGGCAGGAAGAGGGAAGAGGGTGAAGAGCAGGCCCACACAACCGCGACCTGCCCATTCGCTCGCCTAATTCGCCAGTCGGAAGTTCGCCCGATCCTGCTTATGGGCGCTTCCTCTGCTTGGTTCCTCCCTCAATCATCCCTCCGAGTCCCTCGTGTCTGTCCTCCCCAAACCAGCCCCAAACGCAACGCCTCGTGCATTGTTCGTTGGTAGGACTAGGCGATACTTTACCGCCTCCGCCTCTCTGGATCCTCGTTCTATCTCGGCTGTGTATAATAGGTCAGAACAAAAAGTCACCGAAACTTGGACTATATGCGCTTTGCTAACATGTTTTCAGTTCGACCATGGATTTACTCGGATGTTGGATGAATACTCTGGCAAGTGCGTCACACAAAGTACCTGCTGCTGTGCAGCTCGTACCAGCCGAAATTATGTACATGATATTCGATTATTTGCTTGAGCCCTAGTGAGTGTTCTGCATGTACCCTCTCAACAAGCGCCCCAAAAGGAGCACAAATTCACGTCTGACTTTGTCGCTATAACCTATTCCTGAACCCTTCATGATTTATGGCTACTTCTCTCTTTGTTTGTCTCAATCTTCTGGTATGCGGCAAAGCCAGGCGTGTCTTTGTGGCCGTATATTTATGTCACGCCATTACTTCTGTAGTCCGATGAATAACCCGCTGTGTCTATGGAAAACGACCGTTTTTTTCATATCAGTCAAGTGGAATATTGGACTAATGTCATTTTAATGATCA